CAGGCCTTCACCACACTATTGTCTGTGTCCATTGGTTATGCATGTATGTATATAAGTTCTTCGGTTAATCTCTTCCCTTCTCCCAGCTTCTCTGAGATCTGTCCGTCTGTTCCATGCATCCATTTCTCTGGACCCCAGTTTGTTTGTCAGTTTATGTTCATTAGATTCCACATAGAAGTGAGATCATGTGACATTTGTCTTTCTCTGACTGGCTTATTTCACTCAGGTCCATCCATGCTGTTGGAAAGGGTACCTGTCCATATGTTTATTGGCCCTTGAATATCCGTGTCTGTGAGGGACCGATCTGTTCAAGTCTTTTCCATTTATAAAAGGTTGTCTGCCTTTTGCTTATTGAGTTTTGTCATCTGAATCTATTAAGTTCTTGAGTTTGGGGCTTTGAGCAGTATGTGGCAAAATTTTGTACAGTGTGGAAATTCTAATACACCCAAATCGACTTGGTTCCTGGAATTCTATATGAGACTTTAGATAATGAAGGATCCCGGAAGCCCCTGGAGGTATGTTTCTGCTGATTCTGGCTTATGGCACCCATTTCCTGGTGAGCTTGATACGCTAACTGCTCATATTGCTGAGATTCTCTACCGCCTACGATAATGGGGCCTTCTCAGAGAGGATTTGCATTCACCAGCACTTAGGTCATTCCAGGACTACTTTAAACCCACTCAGGACAGAAGACTTTTTTTGGACTATCCAGCAGAGGTGAATTGGGGTGACAAACTCCCAGGGGCCGCCAGCGTGTGGTTGTAAATTCCCAGAGACAGGGTTGTTTGTTTTTCTTTTCTCTTCTTTTCTTTTCTTTTCTTTCCACCCCTCCACTGTTCAACATTAAAGGCTTTTCTTTTTCTTACAATCTCCTGGAGTTGGGGGTTAGCATGACAGTAGGTCTACTTCTGGTTCATCTCAACCTGAGGAGGTTCCCTTTGGGACCCTAACCTTATGGAGGAAGGTTTTCTATTACACTTTCCATGTCTGCCAGAACCTAGACTTTAACGCTGAACTCATGGGCCTTGAGAGGGCATGAGGGCATGAGGAATAAAATCCAAGTTTCCTATAATCCACATCGTGTGGTATTTATCTTTCTCTGACTGGCTTATTTCACTTAGCTTCTCTGAGACTCAATTTTCTTCCTCTTTGCCAGGATCGTGGCAAGGACTTAAGGTATAAGCAAACATACCAGTTTGGCTCAGTAGATAGAGCATTGGCCTGCAGACTGAAGGGTCCTGGGTTGGATTCCAGTCAAGGGCACATGCCTGGGTTTCGGGCTCGATCCCTAGTAGGGGGCATGCAGGAGGCAGCCACTCAATGATTCTCTCTCATCGTTGATGGTTCTATCTCTCCCTCTTCCTTCCTCTATGAAATCAATAAAAATATATTTTTTTAAAAAAGAAAAACAAACATTTAAAAAAATAAAGCATATGCAAAGTTCTTAGCACAATATTTGACATATGTATCATGGTTGCTCAACAAATGATAGTTAGCCGAAACCGGTTTGGCTCAGTGGATAGAGCGTCGGCATGCGGACTGAGGGGTCCCGGGTTCGATTCCGGTCAAGGGCATGTACCTGGGTTGCGGGCACATCCCCAGTGGGGGATGTGCAGGAGGCAGCTGATCGATGTTTCTCTCTCATCGATGTTTCTGACTCTCTATCTCTCTCCCTTCCTCTCTGTAAAAAATCAATAAAATATATTAAAAACAAAACAAAACAAATGATAGTTAGTACTAACTACTCAGTGTTAGTACCACTACTAATGTGGTAGTCGTCATAGTAAGAGCTCACTACGTAAGAAAATATTAAATCCCCCCCCTCCGAAATAAATGCACAAAGAATGTGAACAGAGAGTTCTCAAAAGAGGAGATATAACTAATAAACTTGGGGAAATGTTCAACCTGACCAAAAGTCAAAGAAATACAAATGAAGACAAGACAGCATTTTTTGGCCTACTAAGTTATCAACAATTTAAAATCAGTAGTGGTACCCAGTGCTGGGACAGTGTGCGGAAACGGGCATTTTCATACATTCCTGAGAATATGTAAGTTGATACATATATAAGTGATGTGAGAATATGTACTGTCATTTAAAAAATAATCATATTCTGTTTCAGAAATTTCACTGCTGAGATTCATCCCTAGGACAGAGCCCCAAACATGGAAAGGCTGCAGGCATAAAATGTTAAGTGTCGTTGTCATTGAGTAATTGGAAACAACCCAGCCATCCAGTGATGGGAGGCCTGAGTAGGATTTGCTCAGGGGGTATGGTGATTACACTGATACCACACAGAAAATACAACGAGAGAGAGAAAGCAGGATGCAGTATTTTCTGTGCATTGCATAGCAAACAAATCTGGAAGGATATACACAGTTCAAATAAAAACGAGGATCATCTTAAAGTGGTATGATTATGGAGAATTACTACCTTTATAACTTAAAAATTATACTTCATTAAAACTGTGTTTTCCTGATTATTTCCAAATGGACTCTTTCTCTTTTAAATGACACCAAAAATTAACTTCAAAACTCTTGACAAAAGCCTATAGCCCTGATTTTTTTATATTGGTCCTCTAGAGGGAGCACAAGTGCTTAAAATACACCAGAACCATAATTTAATCTCCTATGACTACACAGTAGTCAAGAATGTTAGAGCTACAAGGGGCTTCAGAGATAATCTAGTGTGTTTTCTTTAGTCTTAAGGATATACAGAAAACAACCTCTAGCTATAAGTCATTTCATTTCTATTATTGTGCTGCTTTTAAATGACACAGACTTTCTTGTGTTGAGTATGTAATCTTTTGGGGTTGAAGTTCCCAACGGAGAGGAAGAGAGTACAAGAAAATCAAGGCTGCAAACTATTCTCAAAGCCCTAATATTTCTGCCATGAAATTACAATCTAATAACTATCCCCTGAAATTCCAAAGAATAGTGCTATGGGCCCATTTAATGGTTTTGGTTTTTTGGTATCCTGTTAAGGTTGGTTTCCAGAGAGCCCCCAAGATAAGAGTTTGCAGCGTTGATGTGTGGTTAATTTGACGATGGGTCTATCCGGGCAGGACAAATATGGGTCTAGTCGGGGGCATGAAATGTGTGTCTCTTGCTGTGACAATTGTAAGAGGAGGTGGGGTTTAGCTTTGGATGGTCCTCAAGTTACCTCTGGGCTCAGCCACTCTCTAGCTCTGAGTTCACTCTAAACTTTCTCATCTGTTTGTTAAATTTAAATTTCAAAAGCCCTAGTCTCTTTCTTGTAATCCAGTTTTGCCTCAAAGCTACTTGGAACCAAGAACAAAATGAAGAGCCATGGCTTCTTCAGAAGCATCTATTCCTCCCTCCAAGTTTATATGTTTAATGGCAACAATAGATGGAGATGGTAGGAGCTTGAGAATATAGCAAGTCCTGGTAGCTGCTTCAAGTACCCACCTGGCTCCACACATACTCATCCCCATATCACTGACCACATTCCCGATGCTGTAATCCTCATCCCTGTGGTTATTCTGTAACTACTAATCTGGGCTGCTTAATTCCTTCATCTTTCACCCATAGTAGGAATGTATACATTAAATATGTGCAGCTTTTTTGCATGTCAATCATACTTCAATTTGCAAAAAAAAAGAACACAACATTTAAAAAAGACAAAGAAAAACAATAATGAGATAATGTATATGAAGACTTTAACAGCTTAGGGGATATAGTAAGCTCTTAACAAACTGTAGTCTTTTTTTTTTTTTAAGCCAAACCTCAGTCTTTTTAAAAATATATATATATTTTTATTGATTTCAGAGAAGAAGGGAGAGGGAGAGAAAGATAGAAACATCAATGATGAGAGAGAATCATTGATTGACTGCCTCCTGCACACCCCCAACAGGGGGTGCCCCTGACCGGAATCGAACCCGGGACCCTTCAGTCCGAAGTCCGACGCTCAATCCACTGAGCCAAACCAGCTAGGGCAAACTGTACTCTTCTTTATCATTATCATCTCACGATGAGCTTCATTAGGGCAGGGACCATATAGCATTGCTCAGGACCTGGCTCAGTGATTAAATAGCCGACACCTGCTGAGTGATTTGTATGAGCCAGGTCCTGAGTTCAACCACAACCTTCGAGGTAAGTACTGTTATTACCCCCATATTACAGATGAGGACACTGAAGCACATAGAAATGAGGCAACTTGTCCAAGGACAAAACTAAAATTTGAATTCAAAGCAATCTGACTCCAGAGTCCACGTTCTCAAAACTATACTGTGCTGCCTCAGTCAATGTATGCCTTAATAAACTGTTGCCGAGCTCGGTCACGGTGGCTCAGTGGTTGAGCATCAACCTATGAACCAGGAAGTCTCAGGTTCACAGCTCCATCTCCAGTAGGGGGCATGCAGGAGGCAGCCAATCTATGATTCTCTCTCATCATTGATGTTTCTGTCTCTCTCTCTCCCTCTCCCTTCCTCTATCAGAAACCAATTAAAAAATAAAAAATAAACTGTTGCTGAGTGAAAAAATTAATGGATTGTAGATTTCTGAAAATGCAATTTCTGGGTCTCAGAACATACACATATTGCAATGTAAGTTATTCATTATAATTTTAAGTTTTTTAAAAAGCAGTATAAAATTTTTAAATAACATTATCACAATATGGACACAAAGGTGCACAGAAGAAATATTGAAAAAAAAAACACCACATCAAAATGTTAGGAGTGGCCATTGTTGATGAATACATTCAGGGACGGCTTTTTTTTTTTTTTTTAATCCATCTTTTTCCAAAATTTTTTTAATGAGCTGTTATTCTGCACAGAGTGACTAACCATAGCCTTATTTTTGTGTTATATGTGCTTTACTGATTTATTGTTCGTTCTGTCCTTAGACGCAAACCTTTCTAAGAGAAGAGAATTTTCATGATTATATTGGGATTTTTGTGCTCTGTCTATCTTAAAAAGAAAATTAGAATCACAGGTAATTTGATCTCTTAACATTATTGGAGTGACCCATTTGATGTAACTCCTGGCGCTAACAAGCAGTGTTGTGGCTTTCCTTTTCTGGTAGTTCCTGTCTGCAGACAAGAGAACTGTTGTACTCGTACATCCATTTGGAAAACACATTTTATTGACTCGGGGTTTTGCAAAGGCTTTATCAAGCTGTTTCTCAAATAATCCTGTGAGGCTGTAATAAAGTCCTCGAAGCCTTGAATCCACATACACAAGCCTACATGAATGCAAAGGGGCAGGATACTAATCCGACATACTAACCTATGTTTTTTGCCCTGTACTTCCTGATACTCCAGACCTTTCCCTGGTTTTAGCAGCAGCAGGGGCGTTCTACACTTACAGCCTCAGAGAAAGGACAATGGAACAGAACAAAGCCATCAACTTTTGGCGTATGACTTGAAAGACTAGGCCTAGAGGAGACCAGGCCTAAAGGAAGAGCAAAGCTGCACCACATCTTCCCCCACATCTTCCATAGGCTGTGAAGGAAGGATGGTGAACAAGAGAGTTTAGATGTTAACACAGGGGGTTCCTAGATAATGTGGCTCTGTACCCCCCAAATCTCAGAGAGGTCTGGAGGGAAGAGTTCAGGAGGCCCACCAACCTGCCATTGTCGAACACCTTATATGAGAAAAATAGAACCCACTTCGTTTGACCTGGTGGGAATCCCACCCCATTCCAATCACCAGGCCAGAATTATCAATGTGAGCTAAAATATTCATGGAGAGCAAGTAGGCTCTAGTAAGGTGTGCTCTTCAGCAGGCAATCTTTCCCTTTGTTCCAAAATGAAGAATTTTTTTTCCCTTGCCAGTTCCCTATGCAGAGCAGTTCCACCTTTCTGTCCTCCTCCCTTCCCCCAATGAATGTGACCTTCCTTATAGAATACTAGAGGCCCAGCGCACAAAATTCGTGCACTGGTAGGGTTTCTAGCGGCTGCCAGCTCCGGCTGGGGCCTCTCTCCCTTCCCCAGGCCGGCCAGCCCCCTGGTCTAACTCTCAGAAGAACTCCAGTGGAGGGGACAATTTGCATACTAAGCTTTTATTATATGGGATAATTACTGGCCTGGCTGGTTTGGCTCAGTGGATAGATTGTAAGCCTTCGGACCAAAAGGTCCTGCTTTGATTCTGGTCAAAGACAGGGCTTGTGAGGGAGGTAACTAATCGATTTCTCTCTGTCTTGCCCTTTCTCTTCCACTCTCTAAAAATCAATGGAAAAGTACCCTATGGTGAGGATTTAAAAAAAAGAATATAATTACCCATGTTGTCTGTCGAACTGGATATCTTTTGTTTTAAACATCAGCCAATTTTCACAACTCTGCAATTATGGCAATAGAGGGTAAGCAACCATTTTTGTTAGCTTGACTTTTTTAAAATATATATATATATATATTATTGATTTTTTACAGAGAGGAAGGGAGAGGAATAGAGAGTTAGAAACATTGAACAGCTGCCTCCTGCACACCTCCCACTGAGGATGTGGCCGCAACCAAGGTACATGCCCTTGACTGGAATCGAACCCAGGACCTTTCAGTCCACAGGCCGACACTCTATCCACTGAGCCAAACCAGTCACGGCTGTCAGCTTGACTTTTAAACTGACCACTTCACCAATAGACTTCGCCAGGATTGGGTTTTGCCGGGTAGGCCAAGGTAACTGCGAAAAAATTAATGGCTGAACAACGTTTTCTTTCAAGGTGGAGTTTGAGTAGAGAACAATGTGCAGTAATTTAAAGCTGTGTTCACAAACACAATTCTACACAAGTATAAGGAACACTGTGGTTTTTTTTCCTTTTGTAAAAAAAAAAAAAAGAAAATGGTTGCTTAAACAAGTGGTTATCCGTTATGGTGTTGACATAGGAAAAGGTGAAATGCTGGCAACCGAATAAAAGCAACAGTGCAACAGGCAGCTCAGTGGCATGCCTGGGATGTTCCTTGGATGGACAGACTTGCTTTTCACTTCCTCCCAATTCTGGTCCCGCCCTCTTAGTGTATCTTCCTGAGAATGTTTTTTTTTTTTAAAAAAAAAAAAAGGAAAAAAGAACATATTGGTCTTACTGCAAGCTGTCTTAAGTGTCTGCTGTTCCCTTCTTTTCAACACCATGGGACTGGGTCTTCCTAACTTCTCCATCGTTTGGTGAGTCGCTTTGCTTTCCCGTTGCTGCCCTCCAGCCCTCCGCGGGGGCTGAAAGCTTCCTAGCGGGGGTCAGTTGAGCACCAGACTCCCTGGGAGCACGGCTCCCGCCGGCCACAAGCAGCTCCCGGACGCCCACAGCCCGCGCGCCTCTGCCCAGCGCCGCGCCCGGCCGGTGCCCGGATCCCTCTCCCCACCCGCTCCCCGCAGCGCCCTTTGGGGCTCGAGGTGCCTCTGGTCAGTTCGCGGGCGCCTGGACCGGGACGCGCGTAACACCGCACCCAGGACGCCCCCGGGGCGGCGGGGAGGAGAAGGCGGCGGCCCTCTTCGCGCGCGGAGGGCGCGGTGGGCGCGGGTCGGCGGAGCTTCCAGCACCGCCCGGATGCTGCAGCCGAGGGGCCTCTGCGGCAGCTGCGGGCGACCCGGGCCGAGCCTGCCCTCGGTGCGCGCGGGGCGC